AACGGGAAAAACCTTAATTCTATTCCATTCATTGTTTGTACATTATGGGTATTGCTATCCGCTTTCATATGACTTAATATTTCTAATTATATATTAACAGCAAGTTCTAAAGCGAATAAAAGACTATCCCCCATACCTGTTAACCTTAGCAAAGTCCATTTTGAAGAGCGATTCCTTGTCATTACATAAAATTTCCATCTTGTTGTAATCTATATCACTGGTACCTGAACGAAACAAAAAAGTTGACAGTCTCCTTTTCCCACTATATCCAGTTTACCAATGACATCGAGAATAGGTGCAAAGAGAATCTTTAGAAATTCTAAGAGCTCATAGGTACGACAGCCTCCGAGGTAACGAAAAATAGCAGCACGCCGAGACTCTACCACGTTCCGTTTCGTCAGCGCCCAGAGCTTACCATACAAAAATCTAAAAGCTTGCAACTAACGCCTTCGCATTGATAAATTTTAATTATCACCTTAACAGAATATGCATCACAGCAGATCTGTGGTCCTCGTGAACTACGCACACTCCTTCCTCTTCATTGATGGAAAACAAGACGAGTTGTTCACGAAACGATTTTTCATCAAGAAGGCGTTCAAAATTCTCTCTCAAATGAACGTTTATTACGATTCAGTCTAGAAATAGAGGACTTTGCTTACTTGTATGGAAGCAGTGATTTGTCTTTGTAAGAAAAAATACATGCAATGGCCGCCTTCTGCACCATGTCATTGCCAACAATTAGTAACTATAAAAGCTTTCAAAACATCTGTAAAAATTGATAAAATAAAAAATCGGTGAAGATAGAGAAAAATTTACATGGTCGTATGTTTCGTGGATCTTTGATTCCATATAGACCGATTTCGCATCGCTGAACTTCGAGTATACTTCAAGAAGAGCGCATAAAGTCTACAAATCATAACATCACATGTATGAGATAGTCTGCTTATTTCACCATTCTATTAGCTACCACTGCTTGACGTTCGTATGTTTTCACATCAGCAAAAAAACACAAACCTTAGTGATGCCAACTTTCTGTTCGGTATTAATGT